AGACAGACAGACAGACAGACAGACAGACAGACAGACAGACAGACAGACAGACAGAAACATTTCGAAATGAACCAGGGCTATGGAGCAAATACGCAAAAATACTCAAATGAAGGCCTAAGATTCACACTGTTTTTTTTTACAGCAAGAAAAAGTATTAAGAGGAAATCAACGTCTTAAAATGAGATTGGTGGGTTTGGTTGTTTGGTTTTTTTCCGTTTGCTCCATTTTGACTTATGGCTTCATTCACGTACTCTAGTTCTGCTTTGGGATATGAGGTCAAAAGACACACTGCATGACAAACAGTCCGCCTTCTCAATAATGGCAGTTGTCAAAAGTCTACGTGGAAAACAAAACTTGTATATAGAAAAAAAGGCCCCCCAAAAAAACCTGGAATTGCCCAAGTTTCGTTTACGGTGACCTGTTAGGGCGGGAACGTTATCTTCGAACAAAGAGAGTTTAATTTTTTAAACTTTAAAATCTCGTTCCGCACTGATCAACCAAGAGATTAAAAAATCTTTCAAAATTTGTCTTTAGATTTTTTTATTTTTTTTTAATGTCTCCCTTAACTTTTATTTACCACGAACATGTCGCCATTCATCCGCGAGAGAAGCATTCACTTGTAAAAGAAGCAGGGCGTTTTAATTGACAGGAAAAAAGTTCCAGCTGCCACTCTAAATCAACGCCGCTACTGCAAGGCGTCTGCTAATAATGTTCGTTCCAGCAAGAACCGATCGAAGAAGTCAATAGTTTTTTAAATGACGCCTTGACTACGAAAGAATTCATTTACTTAAAAACAACCCTATGGCTGATGAACGGACGCTGGTTTTAACCATGCCAATGAAAGGTTGTCAAAGGAATGGCGGACATTCAAATTGTGAATTCAAGGTTGCTTTTTTTTCGCTGTCACGCTATAGAGAGGAGAAAGTGGGGAAAGGGGAAGAGGGCAGGGTGGTCACGGGTCTTTTTTCTGTTTTAATTTTTTTTTAATTTTTGGGGGGAGGGGGGTGTTTATTATTCTTTCTCAACAGAAGATTGCCTCTTATACATGTATAGACTACTGATAAAGAAGGTTTTGAATGAAGGAGGAAAATGAGGAAAAATGGTTTGAAAGAACTATTGAACAATGTCCGTAAAAGATAAAATGGCCATTGATTTGTAAAAACTAAGAAGTGAATTGCTCCCCCCCCCCCTAAAAAAAATAATAACCTCCCGATTTTATTTTTTAAAATTTTTTTTAAGGGTGCTTTTTTACACGAATGTTCACTTTAGAAAACGCCTTTTATTGATTTCGTTATATAAGGACATTTTAACGAAGTGGTCCAGGGAAAAAAATGCCCTCCAAGCCGAAACGACCAAAATAAGCGGTACATGTGGAGCATAAAATAATATCATCTGCTGGCATTGACGAAAAACTCGTCATGTCAGAGGCAATACATATACATATTGTAGCTCTCGTTTCCGTCTTGGCTTATTCAATCTCTTCGAAGCAAAAACCTCAAGCCAGGGCATGTCTTTAGCTTTTTGCCTTCGACCAAGTCAAAAACACACTTTTGTACTCTCTGTTTCTTTCTGTACAAAGCTCGGGCTGTCTTCGAGTAAAGAAAAACAAACACAGACTCGGCTCATGTCTAAGAAAAGCCCGCGGCGCCCAGGCCGGACAGAGAATAATAGCTATTATTCAGTTCGGATTAGCACCGATCTAGAAAAAAGTGACGTGCCCTTCTGGGTGCGCCGACTGAAAAGATCCACCCTTACACACACGTCGGTGTCAAGTCAACCACTCATGGCACACGCATTATGTCGTTTTACACAGTGGGAAGAATAGGCTTTTGCGCTTCCCACTATTCAAAATAAGTTCTCGCGAAATGTCGGTTGACACGAATAGAGTTGGTGAACAAAACATGCGGGGCGAATGTTCGATTTCTGCCACTGGGCAATAAAGACCGATCCATGGGAGAAGAAAGTTTGCATTTACATTATCGTATCTGTCATGAGTCTGTAAAGCTGTTGCTTATCGTCACACTGGGACCCCCACCTTGGCCCATGTGTAACTTAGTGTACAGACCATTCCAGACGTCAAGATATGACGCTTTAAGTGAAAGTAGGACAGTCTGGACTTAAATATCAACCTTATTTGTTTAACAAAAATACCAGCTATTTCCGAGGACAAATAATCCTTTTTGTTCATATGCTCAGTTACATAAAAAATATAATATTTCATTGGAAACAGATATACTATTACGCTGATTTTCACCAGATAATGGTAAAGGGGCTCTTTTTTTCTCTTTGGAAGCCGTGCCTAACGTGTTATCCCTTTGCTTCCTCAAAGCATCCCATTTGGTTCATAAGGAAAGTATTTTGTATAGAGTGAACCGGCACACGTACAAGACTAAAAGTGGACGGGATTG